GAGACTCTGGTTGCTCAGGTGACAGGGGCACTTATCACACAGAAGCCGAGTGCTCAGAATTGAGGCCAGCTGTACACCTCCAGTAACATTATACATTCTCCCTGGATCCCTCCCCATTTGCTTCCCTTTTATTTACGTTCATACAAGCATCCAAAAGCTTGCATGTCTCTCTGCCAGATAAAAACTGCGAAGGAAACCGGAGCGGAGTATAGAACATACATTGAATTCCAGTAGGGCACATTTTAGAAGAAAACGGGGAATGGTTGGGTGAACTTGAATGGGTCAGACTGCAAAGGGGAAATAGGAAAAGTTTCCGGATAAATTGCAAGAAGCAACAAAAAGTGATGTACCAAAACAAGTGCATTAGCAGTAAAAGTAATGGGCAAATTCATTACTGAATAAAGCGAAGCTGGGACCTGTAGGAGCCAGAGAGATAACGAGAGAAATGCCGAGACAGGGATGTAATAGTGTGGTCGATTAAAGCTTATCAGTTAACGCTATAGACTACAAGCATTTCCCCCCCTTGGCCAGGAAATTTTTAGCAGGCTGTCCTGCAGCTCAGCTCAGCTCAGCCCTGGCTTGTGCCAGTTCTGGGCCCTGCATTTAAAGTGTGTTAGAAGCCAGGCAGGCAGGCAGTATGGCTCACGCCAGGTCCAGGAGCTCAGAGCCCAGCCCCTGGAGAGGGGCTGCTGCCACCCCCCGCTGCTGCCGCCTCTGTATCAGAGGTAGCTGCGCAGGGCGACAGGCAGCCGGTCCGCCAGGAAAGCTGGTTTTTAAACTGGCTCCCCTCACAGACCAGCTCCTGCCTGGCACCCCACGCTGCTGCCCTGATACAAAGGCAGCAGCACAGCGTGACGGGGCTTCTTGGGAGCAGGGCCGGAGCTCACTGGCTGCTGGCCCTGTCCCTGGGGACTACAGAATAGTCGAGTAATCAATAAGAATTCACGAGGTTAACAGACGATGCAAGTAACCGATATTTAACCAATACCCCTATGCTAAGATGCACAAGAACTCCAGTGAGATGTTCTCACTCATTGAGAACATTGCCCAGAACAAATTCCAAAGGGATGTGTAGAAAGACCCAGAGCACTGGTTTTGTGTCCTAGGGCTTTAGGAAGTAGTCACAGAGCCCTCGGGGACAAGTGCCCCCTGCAAAACGTCAGTGAACAAACCCAGGACAATAGGTACTGGTAGACAGCGGGTTGATTTACCTCCTTCCTTGGTCCAGCCGGGCAGCACTTGTGGGTTTTGTCTGGTTTTGGTTATTGCCTCTGTGTTGTGACTCGGTTTCTGTCTCGGACCTGAGGTTCCCAGAGTAGATTTCCGTCTGCTAGAGGTCCCCATCCATTCTGAAATCAGAGCAAAGGCATCAGCAAAGCGACTCCAATCACAGTGTTCCAAATATCCCTCCTGGTCCCATCCTAAGTGCTGTGTCTGTGAATTACCCACCTCTAAGGCCACGTGGGTTTTCACTGCCTGCAGCATTTAGCGTGACTCTAGCAGGGCATAACAAAAGCAGAGCAGAAACGGGCCCAGATCAAATGACTGCTAAAGCTACTGTATGAGCTTGGCCCTGAAGGAAGTCCAGAAGTGAGGGTGCAATCCTGCAGCCCCCCACAACAGCTTTGCGATTCCTCCCCCCCCTTATTGGGCTGGACACACATACACCCCACTTCCAATGCCATGACATTTCAGATGTAAACATCAGGCAACATGACACTGACTGATTAAAAACCCTCTGGCCATGACATGGCCCGTTTCTATCAATCACTTTGGAAATGCCCTACATAAACAAGCCCCACCAGCATCTAGTTTAGCTGGCTCAGGGAGGAGTTTTGTCCTTACAGTTCTTCTCCCCTCATGTTTTCTCCACTGCTGGAGGGTGAGAAGAAACAGGGCATTTTATCTGGCTAATTGGACTCTATGGGAAAACTGATCATTCTTGTGCCTTTCCTACGGAGAGAGGATTTGTCTTCAAGTGATTCCAAAGTCAGACGTACTTGGGGCACGCCCCTCCTGGTGAACAGTGCACAGGACACCAAGGGGCTTGGCTAGATGCTGCATGGAAGTTTGTCTCCCATGTTGCAAACGTTTCTCGTTAGCCAAGAGGGAAAGAAGAGCCAACGGACCAAAACCTAAAGAAAAGCCTCAGCCAGCAGGGAGACATTGTGGAGGATTAGTGTTGCTCCATCAGTCCTAGACTTGCTTTGGAGGCAGGGCAAGGTGACAATTGCCCTTGGGCACAGCCCCTCTGTTAACGGGGATGGGGTGGCGGTGGGGGGGTGACTCTGTGCATCTTTATGAAGGATAAAGGGGGCCTGAAACACTTTGTAAAGAGAAATTATTCAGCTGAATACCTCTCACAGGCAGGCCTTCTCAGCTCTGCTTGTCTTGTAAGACGCTATAGAGAATTGTGATGACACAGATACCCAGAAGTCCTACCTAGGGGAGGAGGTGGGATTTTTATTTGGATGTTTGAAATTTCTACTTGGGTTGGATTACACCTGTTTCTTCCGCAGCTTATAAACGGTCAGAAGAAGAGATCTGTTAGATAAAGCTTCAGGATGCCCCAGTCCCTCAAGTATGGACTGAGAGAGCTCCTAGTCCATAACTAGGGCCTCTCTAACGTCCTCTAACGAAAAAGAGATGTCTCTGCATTCCTGATCTCTCTCAGCTAAGTCACAAACAGGGCAGCAGATAGCTTCTCTCGCAGCTAACCCTGTGCTGACCCTCCCCCATCAGAGAGCAGCAAGAGCACAAAGCAGTGTCTTTGCAGGTCTCCAGTAAGGGAGCAATGTGATGTTATTTACAATGTGTCAATAAGGAAAGAATTTCATTGTTAGTCGTGAGAGGATTATGTTTGATTTTGTGTGTGTGATGATTGACTGAAATCCTTTTATTAGAGAACGGTGAGTTAACCAGCCGGGGGCATGGCGTTGTATTATAATCATTACACCTGGGCACCAGGGATGTGCTTTGAACTCAGAAGGGATTATTGAACAATCAGTGTATACTTCGCCCACGACTTCAGTTAGAATTGTGGAGGATGGTCAGTCTGGTTTCGTAGTACTACTACCACCCGGGGTGGATTGCAACACAAAGAGCAACCATGATTCCAGATAGGAAGCCACTCCGTGGTGACTTGCTTTTCTATAAGACTGTCATATTCTGGTATTTCAGGAAACAGAATGACTACTGCTGCTTTATAGGTATTATGAGGTTAAAGGCATCTCTGGTCTATGTAGCTGTATAAATGTTATCTTTAGACGCTGGTGTAATACAACTTTAAATTGCTAAGAATTGTGCCTTCTGCAGACAGGCAGGCACAGCGGCTGTTGCCTGTTACAGGGACTAACACTCAAACAGTTCTGTCACGAAGATTTCATTTTGGTTCTTTCATTATCTTGTTTCCCTTAAGTGAAATAAATTATTTGAGATTGAAAATACAGGTTTGGCTTTTACTGTAAGGAAATGTAAATTCACCCCAGCCTTTCTTTTGCCTCAGAATCAAAGAAGGAACAGAAACTGGGAATGTTTGCTTAGAATTTATGTGGTGCTTTTCATAGCATTTGTTTCTAATGATCTAAGAGGCTGTAACTAGGCATAAAGAGACACAAGAGAACTGAGGGAGATTTCAGCAGAACATATTCCCTAAGAGTGGTAAATGTCACACTGCTGGGCACCAGCTTCCAGAAGCCCTTTTGTTTGAGTCATTTACAGCTGGATTGGAGGTTCACGCACACAGCCCAACCATGACGATAGTATATGCATTAGTAGGGATTTCATTTCTCTAACTTAATAGAAATGTTTTAATTAGACCACTTTACACACACATTTAAGCATTAACAGATGTTTTAAAAGCAAATCCTTTAACTGACATCATCAATACTTAATAAATAATTCTTAGCTTAGAAGCTTCTAAACTTTGTCTCAGTCAAGTTTAAATACCTCTCATTAAAATGGAACATTTTCACTGCTCACTGACTAATTTATGGCACAGTCCTTTGACGTTTTCTGTTGCATGGGAGATATGGCCCTTCATCCAACTGGAGGTGTTGGATTTTTTCAAGGGCTCCAAAATTTCTTCTCAAGCCTTCATCAAATATCCCAGCCCAACAACTTAGGGGTACCACCCTGCTTCACTATGGCTTGAGACTGAAAAGCTAAACAGATTGTTGTAGCGCTCAGTCACATGGTGAGCTGCAGCCATGATTGTTTCAGGGGAAGGATGTGGAGGAGTGGAGAAGAAAATTCCAGCTTTGAGAGCTGCTCCCTGTAATTTTTCATATTTTAATAGGAGTTAGATTTTGAAAATCTAGTCAGGAGTGTTATCCATTTACATTCATAAACCAAAGGAAATAAATATGCCAGATAAGGCCAAGAAACAATCTCAAGGTCCAGAAGTTAAACTTACTTTTCATTTCTGTTTGGAAATCCTACTTAACTCCCCCCCACTCCCCAACACTAAAGAATTAGTTTTTTATGTGACTGGAGGGGAGGCAAGCTGCTTAAGCTCTCTGTGACTCAATTATTCCACTTCTGAAATGGGGTTACTATCTCTACCATGGTAAAATGCTTTGAGATCACTAGAGATAAAAGCAGTAAAAGTGCAATGCAAGCTGGAGTTCTACCGCAAAGAAGATTGAACAGCTGTGATTTGTAAACCAAACTGTTTGCTCCGACTGAGTTCCATAGTCTGCCAGGGCATTCTCTTTGTACACCTGCAGTTTGGAGACAAAAATCCCTTACAGCATGCTTATCACGCCACCTGTAAAAACCCATCAGCCTCCCGTCACAGAGTGCAGTTCGTCTTGCTCAACCAGCAAAACTGGCTCCTTGAGTGAAATTAGCTTTTCCTAACATGAGTCTCCAAAATCTTCCATTCGCTGCGAGAGGAATCAGCTTGTTGGGAGCCAGAGAGGAAGGCATCTGGGAGCTGCTGACTGATCAGTGTGAGAGCCTGTCCCAGTTCTAATTGGCTGCTTGTGCCCTCTTCGCAGGCTTGTCTGCGCTCCTGTTTCCAAGCTCAGATGTTTGAAACTTGCGGGTGTGGTCACTATCTCTTTCCTCTACCCGAAGGGGTGAGCTATTGCAACAGTGAAGATGATCCAGATTGGGGTAAGAACATAAAGTAACAAGGCCTCATGATGCACAAGAGAAGGGATTGGAAACAGAGGGCTCTGTCAGGAGCATTTTAAATAACACTTTGCACTGAGCCCACTGACCAGGGAGAGTGAAGCCTGTGCTACAGCTTTAGCCAAGAGGCAGTTGGCTTTTGGCTCCTGTGGTAAAGGCACATGGCTTTAGCCCCTAAGGTCGCAGGTTCAATCCCTCCTGCTGACAACCAGGGGCTCTTGGCTTTATGCTTGTGTGAGTTGGGCAGTGGCTCTGTTTGCTAACAAGGTGGATAAGTGAGGAGGGAGGCAGAGTTCTCAGCTCTGGCATCAGATTATAGGGAATCTCAAATTCCATAGCAGCTGGTAACACCAACACCAGGTGGGGTGACAAAGATTCCTACCCTCTGCTATGCAGTGAGCAGAAAGCCGTGCACTGGGCTTACTGCCTTTCAGGCCTAGCACGGGAAATTTTTGTCAGCACTTCTCCATGAATTTCTACAGCTCCCCAGATAGATTCCATGCCCGTCAGTACAAGGTGGAATCTGCAGCACAACTTGCGTCTGCTCGGAGAGCTGCAGTTTCCTTGTAACAGCCATTCATAGGAAATGAACTGAAATAAAATCAGGTGCATTCGTATATTTAACGAGGGTCTATTTCAAGTGCCAGCTCAGGATACCTCCTGCAGGAATGAAGATAAAAGGCTTTTAGCCAGGGGGTAGGAATGGTGTCCGTGGCCTCCGTTTGTCAGAGGCTGGAGAGGGATGGCATGAGACAAATCGCTTGATCATTGTCTTCGGTCCCCCCTCCGGGACACTTGACACTGGCCACTGTTGGCAGACAGGACACTGGGTTAGATGGACCTTTGGTCTGGCCCAGTATGGCCCTTCTTATGTAAGATCTACTTACGTAGTACAGTGCAGCATAATCACTCTATTAAGCCCTTAATAACAGCTATCAGCAGAAGTGTTACATCGCCTAAGAGTTTCTGGTTTTGCTTAAACCGTTTCCAAAAAACCCCAAAAGGTTTAAGGGGATACAGATTTGTGCAGCAGCTAAGTTCTGATCTGAAAGGCTTGTTTGCTTTTGTTTTCACCAAACAGCATATTGCTATTCTTCACTGAGATCAAGTATAGGACACAGGCAGTTTTGTATTGACTCTTGTAAGGAAACATGCAAGTAAGTACATTAACTCTCTCTGGAAGCTCTCAAGGTGGAGGGAATCCTGCGTTTCCTCGCTCGGAGAATACTGATCATAAAATCCTTTTGGGGGCGTTTGAAATCAAGCTAAAGTTCTGGTGATTTAAGAGAAGTAAAAGATTCTGTGTATTAATATTCTTGTGTCTTCTTTCCAGTGACATTCAATACAAGATGACCATATCGATGGCAGACTGGCCGTCAGAAGCTTCCGAGGTAAGGCCAATTTCTAACTTCTAAAATGTAAATTGATCATGAGATGTTCTTATCCAACTGAATCCTTTCATATTTGAGGTTCATGTGTGCAGCTAGTCTCCCTCCTGTTGCTAACTGACACCTTTGTCAGCGAGCAGCAGAGAACAGACTCTCAAGACTGCGAAATACGAATAGGGAGCGAAAGCTTTTTCTTTAACAGAACTGGAGCCAGGAATATAATAACTGGTTTTAAAAAGCAGATAAGGCCTCATTTCTTTCATTTGGATGAAAATTGGGAATAGCTGATAGTCAGAATCATGTAAAATTGGAGTCAGTGAGAGGAGAATCCTAGAGTTGGAAGAGACCTCAGGAGGTCATCAAGTCCAGCCCCCTGCCCAAGGCAGGACCAATCCCAATTATTCCTTATTTTAGATGTTCTTTAACTACAGTGGCGAGGAGTCCTGGCCACAGGACTCCTCGCCGCTTTTGCAGATTCAGACTAACACGGCTACCCCTCTGATACTTAACTACAGTGAGAACTCGGTCACAAAGACAGCACTCGCTTTTGTAGCTCACTGCACCAGAGAGCCACCCAGCCAAAGCTATGCAACAGAAATACAGTATGGGACTCCCAGCTGTAACAGAAGGCTACTGTATTTGGGTTTAGCATCGCCACTGCCCCATAAACTTCCCATCTAGCTTACACACCTCACTATTGTCCAGTTACCCAACATCAGCTGTGAGCTGCTACATAAGCAACAGGAAATCTGTTTGACTTCACTCTCACAAAAGCAGAGAGCAACAAACCCATCCTTTGTGCCAGATGAAAAAGCTGTCTGAAGTAGAAAAGTGTGGTAAGATCTCATGGAATAGCCAGAATGAGAGTTCAACAGACCATAAATATTCAAGTTGTCCACTTAAGCAGCCAAAGGTCAGGAAATGTCAAACAAGGTTTCACACACAGCCTTAACTCTGCCTCTGGACAATGTTTGCAAATCGCATGCAAGACACAAATTTGTATTTGCACACGGCTCTGCATATTCATGACAAGTCTTTAATGATATGACCACGTTGTATATGTTTAATACAGATTTGCTACAGGAGTTCCAATATATGCAACACCCTCTAGTCTGTGCTACTTTGTGTATATCCAGGATCACCTTCTCGTCTTGTTCAACATGCTCTGTAATCAAAACAAGCCTTCTGGTGTTTAAAGCAGGGGTGCGGAACCTTTTCTGGGTCGCAGGCTGCTGACCTACAGAAAAATCATTTGGGGACTGCACACAAGTGAGAAGCAAAAGAAACCCTCACTGACATGGTCCCCTACTGAGAAGCAGACACTCTCCACTTCCCCCTCACACACCAGAGTCTAGGAGGGACCAGGCTAGTAGATTGTGTGCTCCAGCCCTGTGGTGGTGGTGGGGGGCATGGACTGGAGCACCAGCCCAGGCTCCCCAGCGCTGGGGGGGAGCCCCGAGCCTTGGGGCTGGATCCAGGGAAGCCAGGGGCCACATTCAGCCCCCAGACCTTAGGTTCCCCACCCCTGGTTTAAAAAGGCCATCTCTCTCTCACTCTCCGTTCTCCTCATCTTCCCGCAACCTCATTAGTCATGGCTGACTTAAGAACATAAAACAGGACTATGCAGCACTTTACAGACTAACAAGATGGTTCATTAGGTGATGAGCTTTCGTGGGTCAGACCCACTTCCTCAGATCAAATAGTGGAAGAAAATAGTCACAACCATATATACCACTATTTGATGTGAGGAAGTGGGTCTGGCCCACGAAAGCTCATCACCTAATAAACCATCTTGTTAGTCTTTAAAGTGCTACATAGTCCTGTATTTTGTTTCAGCTACACCAGCCTAACATGGCTACATTTCTATCACTTAAGAACATCAGAACGGCCAGACTGGGTCAGACCAAAGGTCCATCTGGCTCAGTTCCTGTTGGCCCACAGTGGCCAGCACCAGGTGCCCCAGAGGGAGGGAACACAACAGGGAATCCTCATGTGATCCCTCCCCTGTCACCCACCTCCAGACTTCAGTGGGAATTTTGTCATGGGACTTCAGAGGGAATTTTGTCATGTGAGGAGGATTTAGCAGGCATGCAGCAGGTTTCTGAGAGCAGAGAAGGCAATAGAAAAAGTTGTGTCACCTTCTTTGGAACAAGCCCATATAGTCTCTGCTTATCTAAGAAAGGATTAGAACAATTATGCAAATGTGCGAGTGACTCAGGGACTGTTCCATAGTTAGTAAACACTTCTGCAGAACCAACCCTGCCCTGGTACAAGCCATTCACTAGGTCAGCTCACTCAGATCAGCACAGCACAGAGCCGCTGTTAACAATGAAGAGAGCCCCAGGCAACCAGGAAATCACCTGGAGAATAGAAAGGCAGGAGCTAGACTGACAGCCGATCCACTCGAGCTGTGCAGATTGTGGCATTTTGGAATACATTGAACTCTCCCCTCATTTCTCTAGGTACTCATAAGAGTGATTGTTTAGAACAGACTAGTCAGCGCTGCTGGCCTCTTTCTGATCAGACCTGGGAACAGGTTTGATATTACCCACTTCCACTCTTCGTAACACCTCTGCTTCCTGGTATCTAGTTTTGCTGACTTCCAGCATATTGATTCTCCTACCCTATGCATTTGTGCTTTATTATCTCCTTACATTCTTTCCCCTCACACTGATGCAGATCATCATATATTTTTGGAGCTCTAGTTTTATTTGCAATTAACTTGTCACTCATCCCCGCTGGGTATAAAACTATGTTGAGCATTCTGTGAAGGGACATGCTTCTCCTTAATTAACTCCCCCTCCTGCTCCAACTCTACCCAGTTCTCCTCTACAGACCCACTTGTGAAGAAACCCTGCCACTCCCTACCCTAGAATAGGCAGCTCACTTCATCAAACTGGCCTTTTGGAAGGTTTCATTTGTTGAGTTCAGACCCTAAAGCCTTCCAGTGATGGAAACGTGAACTCTGCCTCAAGTCTGATCCCACTTTCCCAAAGTGTCCATAAGTCACCTCACCCCATTTGATAAGAGTTAAGCTAAATTACCAGCGCCTCACATGGATTGAAAGAAAACTGGAACCTCTGC